TCTCTTAAAAGTGAACCCCCCCCCCCCCAATCTGCCCTCACTCACTGTGTTTGAACACCGGAGAGAGCAGCGATGAGTCAGCACTGGTCCAGTGGGAGGGGCTCCAGGTAGGGTTCTAATTTAGCTGGCTCAGAGGTGCCGGCCAGCTAAATTAGAACCCCACCTGGAGCTGGAGCTCCTCTTGCCGGACCAGCGCTGACTCGCCGCTGTGGTTTTTTTCTTCTTACTTACCTCACCGAGTTAAATTTCACAGAACAACTGAATCCAATGATTTGGAGGGGTGTCCCAATACTTTTGACAACTTAGTGGGGTTTTTTTGAATGGCTTATACTGTATATGTGATAAGCTCATGTCTAGCTCATAGAAAGTGCCACACTCATGTAATGAGTTCATATTTATTTTAAATAACCACAATAGAAATTTGAGACAGTTGACAACTATGTGCGCTAAGCACAAAGCTAGTTTTGAGTGAGAAACCTCGTTCCTATAAAGATGTACTTCTTGATACTGACAGATAACAGGATATGAAGAACTGCTGCACAAGCAATGAAAGGTAATCTAAGCCATTGCTTGTTTTAAGATCTATTCCATACCCGCCCTGTAAGATGATATAGCAGCATTTCCTGACTGGAGTCCAGCTGACCCTGCAGTGACCAGGAACATCCTGCAGTCAGCTAACACAATGAGGAGTTCCCTGTGAGCCTATCCATAATATAGAAAGTATTGCTGCTAATAATTCTGACAAGTAAATCTTAAAGTGAAAACACATGTCATCTCACTATTATGAGTAGTCCCATGTAACTGTGCAACATGATGTCATTTTAGGCATATTCAGTACAAATCCCATTAAATGGAAAGCTAGTATAAGGTCTGCAGGACAAGCTGTATAATACATCAGACTAATTCCTTAGGGGAGCCACTAATCTAGACCTCTAACTAGAGTGTGACAAGTTTGATAACCAGTCCTCTCTCCGTCCTGAGTACCTGATGCCTGTGCCTGCTCTTGACAGGAAGGCTGGATTTTTTTGTAAGCAACACAAAGGATAATTGTTTAATATTCAGTTTTCAAATTAATTTGAAATCTTTCCAGCATTCAGATACTACTTGCATGTGTCAAAATCCTACAGCGAGAGATGTGCTAATATGTGCCTTATCTACACATGAAGAGCAGGTAATGATATAACTGATTGCTGTGCCTCTACTCACCACTTTTT